CAACAAACACTGAAAACAAACCGTGAGAATAAAACAAAACGGCCAGCAGTGAACGTAAACAAATGGCACACGCGAGAGGCAGTCCGATGTCATTGTGCTCCGCCCACGTCACGGCGGCGACCCTCGCACCTTCCTCCCTGCGCCCCCAATTCGCACCATCGCCGGGATGCTCATTGATACACGGAAAGCACAACAGAAGGGCATCGTGGACGGTAAACACAGCGGCGGCGCAGGCAATGACGCCAGTCCACCGGACTCCGCTCTTGCAGCAACTCCACCCGCTTCCGCCTCGCACCGTCTGCCGCGTGGAGAGCCGACCCGGGGACCACGCAGTCACCCAACAGAGAAACAAAAACCAAACCGAAACCTCAACGCGCACTGCGCACCCGCACCAGCTCTCACAACACCCACATTCATTTGTCGTATCCCACTGATTGCGCCAGGACTGATGGCCGCACACACAAAAAAAAAACATGCTATTTTTACGAACTAAACTTCATCCAACCCCACGTAAACACACATCTACTACTCGGCACAGCAGCATTGCTGCACAAGCCACGCGCCGCCTGCATCCCTGCCCCAATGAAAACCCACAATGCGCGTGCCTATCGTGACTCCATTGTCTCCAGATCATCCCGATGCACCACGTTTCTGGAGGTCACAACGCGCCGTACCCTCCTCGTGTTCCCAACAGAGGCACCATCTGCGTCTTCAGCAATCCCCTCGCCCCTTGAAAAATCCCCACCTGCAAATGTACCCGATGCAACGCGGCGGCGACTATGGTTTCTCGACAGCCTCGACGACTGAGAAGCAACTGATGCGGATACTAGACGTGGCGAGGATTCAACAGGGGCTGCACATTGTGAAGGGGATATCGAGGAATTCCACTCTAAAAAAAGTTTCTGCTCATGTGTCCTCCCCGTGAGCAGAACGGGGTCCTCAGACACACTCACACCGCCGTTCTGCCTCTGTTGGGTCTCATACACATTGCCCTTCACCTCCCGCAATTCCATGGACGCCACCCTCGTGGATTCATCATCGGTACGACGGCGGCAACAGCAGAAGATGATAACGACAGTTAGTACAATCGCAGCGAGAAGCGGCAACAACATGGCAAGAAGAATGGCGTACCAGTGATCCTGCGCCCACGGCACCACCACCTCCGGCAACGCCGTAGTCGTGGTGGCGGGCGGGGCCTCCGTCGTCGTCGTCGTCGTCGTCATGATTTCGTCTTGCACCTCACAGACAAGGCAGTATGCCACAGCAGACGTATCAGTGTTATCGTAAGCATGCATTGCCCCATCGTACCACAATGTCGTCGTCTCCATCTTCACTACATCCAGGCTAGATATTAAGTAAATTTGGCCGTTGGCAGGGCAGTTATCGCGCCAGTAATCGTCGTACCCGTTCAGTGGGCCTGTGCCAGGGATGGAGTGCAGTGAACCTCTGAAAAACGGAACACCACGTGGTTTCGGCTTCGCACTCGCGTCCTCAAACAGCCCCTGATTCCACTCAAAGATGCAGTTCAAGAGTGTGTTACCATCTTCTGGATTACACACCCTTTTAGGGTTCTCCTCCCAAAAAAAGCTGTAGTAGGCGTTGCCGCCCATGTACGTGAATACCTCAGCATCGGCAATGCCTCTCACCCTCCTCAAGTAATCCGTGATGGACTGATGCGCTGCAGGTGTTTGATCCGCAGTAAGAGCGCCTCCATTTATTTGACAGACACTCCAAGACACGCCGTAATCCACCTGATTGCCATAGCTTTCACGAAACTCCGAATGGGGAAAGCTGAAATATTTCTTGATTTTAACGACCACGTGTTTGTATTCTCCCGCCGCGGTGAAGGAGGGGTGGCTGCCCAGGCACTGCAGCAGCAGCAGCAGCGCCATCCACCGGACGGCAGCCCTCACCGCGGAGCGCGCCCGCATTCCAACTTCGGCCGACATCAAATACCCGCTGCGTTGAACGATGTGTGTGTGTGTGTGTCTACCGTCTGTCTTCGCGAGGTGGAGACAAAGTGAGGGAAAGAGAGGTGCCACGCCAAGACGGCCCCACCCCACACAGGCGTCAGGCAAACAAAAACAAACAGAGAGGAAAAGCAAAGGCGTGCCACACCGCCGCCACACTCCCGGCCCACGCAGTGCCCGCGCCGCACCGCCCAGCGCACATGGCGCACGGATTGCGTGCAGGGTTCATAGCCAAACAAAAGCAAAAACAAACAGAAGCACACCCCAAAGGAAAACACACCGCGATGCGGCTCCCTCCTTCCACTGAAACAAATAAAAAAAACGGTTAGGCCCACTGCGCACACCGCTCAAATACGGGGCGGATCTACCTCGGGGCCGCAAAAACAAACAATTCACGCATTAAGGCGTTTGACGATGGCCGGGATCGTTGGGTCCCACGCAGCGGCAGTCGCCACGCCCCGCAACCACCGGAGGCCTCGCGTGGAAGACGTCTGCGGCGGGGGCTGCGGCGGGAGGAAAAAACCGGACTCCACTCGCCACCCCAACGCGCCACCGCAGAAAACAACCAAAAAACACACGCACAAACAAATCG